AGTAAAAGTGGTGGAGAGGGGGAGATTGGAGTTGGAAATGGTAAGGGTCGCCATATTGGCCGCTGTAACGTTCCATCTTTTGAGGGTGTCTTCTTCTAGCTGTTTTGTTGTTGTTTGGGCTTTTTGCGTGCTTTGCGCTCCGTCATGGTCCCCCCTCCCCCGCCCACCACACCATCGGTCACATTAGCGTTTTTAGCCATAAAAGAGCCAAGCTCCTCTGCTCTTTGCTCTCTCTTTCGCTCTTTCTGTCTGCCCATTTGGTTGTGTGGCCGTCATCGGCGCGTCAACATCGTTAGCAGCTGTTGCTCTTTGCCTGTGCGCCATTAACTGCCGCTCCTGCCGCCCCTCCCTCGTTTCCTACTTCCTTCGGCCTGCATTTGCTTTGTTGCTGTATTTCTGCTTGCGCATTCGTTACGCTCACGTTTCGCGACGACAATAATGCTTTGGGCCTTTGCTGCTGCTGCCTTGTTGTTGCTGTAGCTGCTGCCACCTCTGCCTGGCCTCCTCTTCCTCTCTTTTTTACTCACGCTCCTGCTCCGCCTTGTGCGTGAGCCGCCATATACTGTGAGACTTCAATAACTAAAACCATCGGATATGACGCACTGAATTCAAAGGAATTCTTAATTTTTTTCTGTTTCTGTCAAAAGGCCACAAATTGACTTTGAAAAAACGATTGACTTCCATTCAATTATTCCTTGACCAATAGCTTTAAATTGTAGGATAAATTATTTATTCAGATGTGTTTAAGTTTTTTTTGTTGGTAGCCTAAAGACTGCTGTCCAAAGACTGTAATTCATTTTAATTAATTAATTTTGTTTTGGAAGCTGCTGGTAAATCCAATAATATCCTCTAAATCGAGTTTTAAAGTTGTTTACCTTTAAAAGCTTGTGGCTTAATTTTCTATTTACCTTGTTTTTTATTATTTTATTGGTTTTATTGTGGCATAAAATTGATCTCAGTAAGCAGAATTACGAAAAGTAAAATATATTTCAAAGCAAAGATTTCCAATATTTATTATTAAAATATAAAATGAAGCGTAGCTAAGAAAGCTCGAAATAAAGTGGACAACAATGGTTAGGAAAATGAAATTAAGTAGAAATCAAAATGTGTAAGCTCCACTGTACTCATATACATATGGCCCGCGTGTGCGAGCTTATGTCTGTGTGTGAGTGTGCAAAAATTAAATGGAAAATACCATTTGGTGGCGACTCTCCAACTCTCCAGCTCACCAGCTCGCCAGCAGGATGTGACCGTTGCTACGCGTTGCTGGCGTCTGAGGTTGAGTTGCTACCACCCATCTCCGCCCCCTTTGTCCCGCCCTCCACCGTACCGCCCCCTCATTTGCTGCCACACGCACACACACACACAATACAGTTTACTGATGGACCCGCACGAGTCGGTGTGTGCGTGTGTGTGTTCTATGGCTTCATAAGCTTCAATCTTGCGTCTGGTCAAAAGTTTGCCTAGTTGCCATAACTTTAAGCATAGCTTACGAATCGCGTTAAGTAATTACACCCAGCAGCAAGGAAATAGCTGAATACAGTAGCAGTTTGATAAATTAGCCTTCTCTCCACGTCCAACAATCTTGGTTGTATCTTAAATAAAAAACATATGTATGCAAAGGTACATTTTTCCTGCCATTTGTCTTTAAACAGAGCTTTTTTCTTTGTTAAATTACTAAACAAATTTCATTTGTTGGTGATAAAAAGGATAACAAATTAAAACCACTTAAATATAAAATTAGTAAAGTTTATTGTGTTTAACTAACTAAAGTCAACAATTTAATAAGAAAACACAATTTTGGTTTTTTGCCCGATAAAAAGGTGCGATCTTGGATAGTTTAAGGAAAGCCATCTGTTTAAGTAGGAAACCATCTAAGATCTTATGAAGAAGCTAACGGTAATTGTGTAACTAAGGGCCCAAGTCTTTTGCTTAATTGTAAGAAATTAAATTCGGAGCGGCTGCCCAATCGCACTTGCCCCTTATTATATAGTGTTATATTACGACCTCGCCATCCGGCACCCCCTTTTCAATCGCCCGCCGCCACCCACCTCACACTTACGGTGTCTGAGCGACAGGCGCCAAAAGAAGAGGAAGTGAGAAGCGCAGTGGAGAGCGCGGAGCGAAGAGGAGGAGCGGTAGTCGTGGAGCCACAGCCAAATTCACATCGATTTGCCTTGCCCGGCGTTTGTTGCACCGCCCCCGTTGGTTCTTCCTCTTCTGCTTCTGCCGCTTTTGCTGCCTCCTGTCGCGTGATTTTAACGAGCCTCCTCTCTCCGGCCCCTCCTTCCCCTTACCTCTCTTCATGGTTTATGCTTTTCGCTCGCTCGCTTCCGCGCGTTGATTGTTGTTGGCTGCGCATGCAGTAGGCAGGAGGAAATAAGAAGCAAGAGCGGGGGAAGAGATTGGGAGAGAACAGGAGGAAAGAAGGACGTAAAGAAGGGGGAAGAGGAGCCAGAGAAGAGCAGGCCACCGGCTCCACCTCACACAGACAGCACGGCTGGCTCTCACTCGCATGTATTTGTGTGGCCATGGGTGTGTGTGTGTGTGTGTGTGAGTGTGCGTGTGCTGGATAGCCGGCAATAATATGTCCAAAAGCAGCAACAACAACGGGGAGCAGCGAGCAGAGCGAAGCAAATGGCGGCGGCCGTTTTTAGCGTTTGTGCGCGCTTCTCCATCTCCCCCTCCTCCTTCTCCTCCTGCTGCACACATACATTTAACTTATATGTATGCATGTATGTATGTATGTATGTCTGTGTCGCGCCGGCAAAAGCAAAAGCAAAAGCTTGTGGCGTGGCTTTGGCTCTCGCCTGAAACTGAACTGAACTGCCAGCCTGCTGACTGCTCTGCTCCCTGCTCTTCTTCCCATCCCCCACCACTGGATGGCCTGCGCCTCCTCGCTGGCGTTTTTTGCGTTTCAGTGTGCGCTTCTCATGCCCTCTCTTTTCCAAGGGTATTTCGAATTGGAAAAGAGGTTGCATATTCTAACTTGGAGCTTGGAAGCCGTTTTAATTCAGGATCCCAGCGGAATATTGGCTGTTCTTTCTTTTGCACAAGGTAAAAAATGTGGAAAGACTTACCTTCTTTACCAACAACAAAGCACATTAACATATTTCCGAACAATACTTATTATAAAACACTACTTACACATGTGTACAAAAAAAAATGTTAGTAAATAAGAATTTAAGATTCTGTAGGACCAGGAGAGATACTATCTGAACAGTAGTTAAAGTTTGTTATAAATCCTAGTACTTCATCGCCATTTCTTTCTTTAATTCAAGGGATAGAGAAAAACTAAAGTTCCTTTAATAATTTCTTTAATTGAATAAAAACTGACTTGATTTTAAAACAATATTGACCCAGCTAATTCGTTTCGGTTCGGGTTTAAAAATATTGACTAAATTGTATTGAAATACATGGTACTAGTATAGTGTAAATGTTCAATATTATTAGCTTGGCCTAAAAATTAGTACGGGGTATTGTTTGTCTTGATTCACCATCATCTATTCCATATCCTGTTGTCCATGCTGCATATAATTTTAAAGCAGACAAAATCTACATACTTAACTAGAGATAAGCATCGATATATTTAAAAATCGTTGATAGTGTATAACCATATTCGTTCTCTTTTAGCAGGCCTTTAGTACTTTTTTTTATACATATTATTTTGCCTGCCTGCTGCTGCTTCTGGTGGCTGTTGGCTGTTTGGCTGGCGTCGTTTCAGCTGCCGCCGCTAGTTGGCACGTTTTGTTGGCTGGCTCGCTTGGCTTTTGGGGGCTTGTGGACCTGGCCGGGGATTCGGATTCGGAGTGGGAATGGGAATGGGAATGGGTCTACGACTGCGACTGGGCCTGGGTCTGAACACGGCCTGCTGGCTCATGGCTCATGGCTCACGGCTCTCGGCTGATGGCGGATGGCTGCAGCCTGTCGCAGTGGCAAATAGCAGCGGGTGAGAATAAGGGGGAGTTGGGAGGGGGGAGGGGCAGAGCGGTCTGTGTGCGGCAGCGGTGGCGGCGCGTCAACGGCAGCAACAACAGCTACAACAGCTACAACGCCGCGACAGCAGCAGCAGCGGCGCTTCGCACTTTGCTCTGCTGAATTTTCAATTTCAGTTGTAAGCTGACTGCAATCAGCAGTGGTTCGCATTTTGGTTCGGGAATTCGCAATACCGCAATTTCGGTTTCGGTTTCGGCATTTCTCGCTCGTGAAAACGCTCTCGGGACATAACGGAAAATATATACGGGCCGGCGCTGTCCGAGCGCACAAAAACTTTTCGATTATTATAAAGTTTGGCGGTAACACACAAGCGACCACCCACTGAACCACTCAGCCATTGTACCACCCACCGAAACCTCCCAGAAATCCCGTTAGTTGCGACTCCTGGCGCGCTAATTTTGCATATGTGTGTGAGCGAGTGCGTGCGTGTGTTTTATTGATTTTATGGAGCAACTATATAGTTTATTCCCTCACCCCTCCGATCAGCCTATTTGGACTCTTTCTTTGCTCTTCATTCCTGAGCTAATTTCAATGACACTTGAAGCGGGATGAGGGCAGTGATAAAAAGTTAAAATTATTTGGTGGGAATGGGGGGAAACATTAGTTTGGAGCTAAGTTGAGTGGGAGTAAATTTATTTGGGAATGGGATGAGCAATAGGATTAACAGTTGAGCGGTGATAGAGTTTAAAGCTATGAAAGATGGAGCTGATACATATGTATGTAAATCCAAAGGAGAGGGTAAATGGAAATAGTTTAAGCTGAGTGGAGTGCGAAGAAGACAAAGAGCTAAAGGTGCGTGAGAGGATATACATAGGTAGAACTGTTAACCCATTAGGGATCCTTTGTCGACACAGATTCTTGTGTCTCTACTTAAACAACAGTTACATATTTAACACCTATAAAATATATGTAAAATGATTAGACATAATAATGACAGAAAGTAAGTCATGATGTTTAAAAACTAACGACTTCAAATCACATTTAATTTGTATTTCTTTAAATATTAAAAGTTGATTATTAATCATTTAATTATTAAAGTAATGAAATTACTTATATGAATTTAGGTTCTGAACCTTCATGGGTTAAGTGCCAAAGAGAGATAGAGATGGAGTATCCAGAAGATTTGCAGACTTCTCTATTCGCACACGATCAATACATCGCCTTTATGCAAGATCTGACCTATAAATAGTTGTAAAGCTAGCTGAAGCCATGCTTCTTATCTCGATTGCCCCTCACGCTGATAAGCAGCGGGAAATCAAAGTTGAGGAAATGATTGCCAAATCCCCAGTGTTAGTCCACTTTAGTTGCCAATTTCCTAGCCACACAGCTTCCAGTCTGAATGAGAGTGTGTGTGTGTGTGTGTATGTGTGTGTAAGTGTGTGAGGCCTCATAACTTTCCACGGCGGGTCGAAACTTGTGAAATTCTTGGCTACCAGCAGAGGAGCTAGCAAAGCACCTCGACAGCAGCTGGGCCAGCTTTTCAGTCCGCTTTTCACCCCCTCTTATGGCCCTACCCTCACCTAACACAACAACACACTGTCGCCGGCAGTTTTTGCCCATAAAAACGGCAACGGCAACGGCAACGACGAAAACGAAAATTTAACGACTGCGCAACGTGACGCATTATTTGTCTGGCCTGGCTTGGCTTGGCTTGGTTGGTCCCTGGTCTTCTGGTCTTCTGGTCTCTTGTCTGCCTGCCGACTGCTGCCTGCAGCAAAGCTATAGCTGCCGCCAGAAATTGCTTTTGCTCGCTGGAATATATATATACATACATATGTATGTATGTGTATGTGTTTTTGCGGCCTGTGCCTCTGCATCCGCTCCCCGCACTACGTCCCTCCCCCTGCGCCTCCCCCAATCTGAAGTCTCCACACTCCACGCTGCCGTTTTTAGTATTTCGCACTCTGTGCACGGCAAACATTTTTGCATGACTGACTGAATGCCGCCGCCTGCGCCTGCGACTCACTCACACACTCGCAAACTCGCAAGCCACACCGATGCACTGGGGCCAGACGATGCACTCGCCGAATACGGGTGTACTAGTTGGGTGTACTAGTCAGGTGGACTTACTAGAAATTGGAATAGATTTAGGATCAATTTTCATACAGATTTTTTTTTTAATTGGAATACGAACCTTGGAATACACTGTTCCTTCAGTTCAGCGAGATCTTTTCTTTAAATAGGTTTAAAGGCAAATAAACTTTAAAATCAGTCAATTAAATGTATTTAACTCGAAATATTGCATTGCTCTATCAGCATACTTTTGGGAAATCTGTTTCTGTAGTGCAATAAATTTTAAAAGTACCAAGGTAATCTAACCCACGTTTTTTCCAAGTGTATCCAGCGCAGTGCGATAGGAAGGGGGACGAGAAAAGTCAGAGGCAGCGGAACCGGGAGCGTGAGTGGAAAAGAGGGAGCGGGAGCAGCAGGCTCGTGGAGTAACTGTTGGCTGGTCTCTCGGTCGTCGCTCGTCCGTCTCTGTCTCGCTGTCTTTCTGTCTCTGCGTCGCTGGCCTGGCGTGTTTATAATTTGATTTCGCTGCTTCTTTCCTGCCCCGACTTCTTTTTGCTTAGTGGGCAAAGGGGGAGTGAGAAGGAGATGGGCAATTGGGGAGCAGAGCAGAGCAGAGCGAGCAGCGCATTTCCTGTCGCTCGCAGCTCGTTTTTGGGCCTAGGCCTAAGGATGGAATCTTAATGAAGTTATTGCGTTAACAGTTTGGAGAGCACTGGCTGCTCATTGATGGTCATGGATCGCAACTAACTCGTGGGAAAGAGAGAAGGGAGATATCTCCCGCCCTGACGAATTCCAGCGTACGCCATTGGGCTGACCAAAGCCTAATAATTGCTCTTTTTCTCTCAGTCATTTAGTGGTGGTGTGTGTGTGTGTGTGTGTTTCCCATTTGAGCATGCATTTGGCATTCACCGTTAGCCGGCGGACAAGTGAAACAGCAGGAGCTGCCCATTGAAAAAAGTGCCCGCGCGAAACAAGGACAAAAAAAGAACGTGGTGACCCAACTTTGAGCGCTTAAGATGGCGCCAAAAAAGTCCACCATTGTGCTCAATGTGGAGCAGTTTATTCACGACATCGAGGAGCGTCCGGCCATCTGGAACCGAAATTTCCACTGCAACAAGGCCTTCCTTGAGCAGATGTGGGACGAGCTGAGCGGAGCGCACAAGCTGCCGAGTAAGTTTAGCATATGGCCAACAGGAGTTCATCAGTGTTGCCAATCCTTGTCCAAAAGTTGAGCCTCGAAAATGTAAAGCCTTGAAAATGTGAAATCTTAATATTAATTAAAAAAAAAATATACAAATTTACAAAGTTTGCTTAAAAGTTCAATAGACTATGGTAGCTTATCTCTAAGCATACAGCAAATATAATTTAAAGTAACTAATCTGACTAGTTTTGCTTGCTTCATAATAAAATAATTTATATGTATAATTAATTTAAATCATTAAAAAAATGTTTGAGCGTAATCAAAACATTTTTAATATTTTTTTGGAAATCATATATTTTAGTATTTAAAAAGTTTAATACGATTTAAAAGCTTACAGTTCAAGTTAGACTGATTTGAAAAATTACTAGTTTAAAAAATAAATAGCAGCTTAAACTAAAAAAAAAAAGAAATTAAATAGTTTCCTGCTCTAATAAGATTTGTCGAATAAAAAGCCAAGTTGGCAACACTGACAATGACTCCAAGCATGAGCAAATAGGTTTCTATCGTTATCCCACTCTCTCTCGCAGAGATCGTGCTCAAGGCCAAGTGGAAGGGACTTCGAGACAATTTTCGAGTGGAGTACAAAAGGATACCTCGGGCGGATAACGGTGATTTTATGGTAGATCCTGCCACTTTCGAGTCCAAGTGGCTGCACTACTACGCATTGTTGTTTCTAAGTGAGTTTTATGGGGTTTTTCATAAAACAATTACCTTTATTTATTTTCATTACGTTTCAAAGCTGATCACATGCGACATCGTTTGCCCAAAAACGAGCAGGATCAGTCCTTCTATTTCAACCAGCAGAGTGAGGATTGCGAAAAGACGGTTGTGGAACCGGATTTGACCAATGGGTTAATACGTCGCCTGCAGGACAGCGACGAGGATTACGACGAGGAGGACATGGAAGCGGATGCGGACGGGGAAGCTAGCGAAGCCACCATGGAGGAAGCAATGCCAACGCCGCCGGCTGCCCATCAGATGAACCAAGTGAGCACCACACCACTGGCCACAGGAGCTTTGCGCGCCCAAGAGGAGGCCCATCAGCACGCCTTAATCAAGGCAGGATTACTGCGTGCCCAATTGCTGGAGCTGGAAAAGGAGGCCGAGGACCTGAGCAAAAAACCACCACCGCCACCACAACAGCAGATGTCTCCAGCGGCTCCTTTATTGCAAATGCTGGTCGAACCACCAGCCGCACACTGTTCACCACCGCCAATGGTGACCACCACATCCGCACAAGTACAACAACCCGGATCAGCGGCTGTTTTGGCGCCGGCAACGACTACATCTGCATCATCGGTGTCCTCCAATGGAGCGTCAATGGGTAGCAAGAGATCGGTGTCGCCACCGCCACTTTACAACAAGGCTCATCATCCGCTGGCCACTCTGGCAGCTGCTCATCATGCGGCCAAAGAACGAAATGAAGATTTCGGAGCGTCCTCCGCTGTGGGAGGAAACGGAGATCATCTCAGCTTCACCCAACACTCCTATGCCAATGGACTGATACCTGCCCTCAAGCTGAAGCGACCACGTCTCTCCGAGGATAGCAATTTCAATGGATCCTCCACGATGGATGCTTCACTCGTGCCGGAGGACGATGACTACCACTACTTGCTGAGCCTGCATCCGTACATGAAGCAGCTGACGGCTGCTCAGAAGCTACGCATACGCACCAAGATACAAAAGCTCATCTTCAAGGAGCTCTACAAGGAGGATCTCGAGGAGTCCAAGTAGTGGAACCCCCCCGAAGATCTAGATTAAGCCGAAGACTGTACATACGCCCTGTAGTCTAGACCATAAGCATTATATTTAGTTTGTGTCCATGCCATGCTACTTGATTGATTTCTAGTTGAGCGCCACTCCAAGGAAAGCTGGGAGTGCGCCATTTACGCCTAAGCACAAATACCTTGGAAATAAAAAATGTAACATTTAAAGGTTTCCGGTTTCTTTTATTTTTACCAGGAAGGGATCCCTGAAATTGTTGAAACGCATTTTAATTGCTTAACTTTTTGTTCACAGGTGAGGTGTACGTTTTGGATGATGGCGCCGAGGTGGATCTCGATCTGGGTAACTATGAACGATTTCTGGATATCACCTTGCATCGGGACAATAACATAACCACGGGCAAGATTTACCAGTTGGTCATTGAGAAGGAGCGCACTGGCGAGTACTTGGGCAAAACCGTACAAGGTAAGTGATTGACTTTGAATTCCACTTTCTTATAAGTGACTAAGCCGTCTTTATATCTTGCATACATTTTATATCTTTATTATATTCTTATCTTACTCTTTTTTAATTTTATTCCCTCAGTTGTCCCACACATCACGGATGCCATCCAGGAATGGGTTGAGCGCGTGGCCCAGACTCCTGTCCAGGGCTCCTCGAAGCCACAGGTGTGCATTGTGGAACTGGGAGGCACCATTGGCGATATCGAGGGTATGCCTTTCGTGGAGGCCTTCCGTCAGTTTCAGTTCCGTGTGAAGCGGGAGAATTTCTGTTTGGCCCATGTGTCATTGGTTCCGCTGCCCAAGGCCACCGGAGAGCCAAAGACGAAGCCCACCCAGAGTTCGGTGCGTGAACTTAGGGGTTGTGGCCTGAGTCCCGATTTGATTGTCTGCCGTTCGGAGAAACCCATCGGACTGGAGGTCAAGGAGAAAATCAGCAACTTTTGTCACGTGGGTCCGGATCAGGTTATATGCATCCATGATTTGAGCTCCATTTATCATGTTCCGCTGCTAATGGAGCAGAATGGAGTCATTGAGTACCTTAACGAGCGACTGCAGCTCAATATTGACATGAGCAAGAGGACCAAGTAAGTTGAAATGGATCTCCATAACTATATAGTTGTAGTTCCTAAGTTCCTTTGCTGATTTCAGATGTCTGCAGCAGTGGCGTGATTTGGCCCGTCGCACGGAGACGGTTCGCCGCGAAGTAACCATCGCCATCGTGGGCAAGTATACCAAATTCACGGACTCGTATGCCTCCGTGGTGAAGGCCCTGCAACATGCCGCCCTGGCTGCGAATCGCAAACTGGAACTGGTCTTCATCGAATCGTGCCTGCTGGAGGAGGAAACCCAGTTGTCGGAGCCGAGCAAGTACCACAAGGAGTGGCAGAAGCTATGCGAAAGCGATGGCATCCTTGTGCCCGGTGGCTTCGGCTCTCGCGGCATGGAAGGCAAAATCCGAGCTTGCCAGTGGGCACGAGAGAATCGAAAGCCCTTCTTGGGCATCTGTTTGGGTCTGCAAGCGGCAGTTATTGAATTTGCCCGCAGTAAATTGGGTCTAAAGGATGCGAACACCACGGAAATCGATCCGAAAACGGCCAATGCGTTGGTCATTGATATGCCAGAACATCACACGGGTCAATTGGGTGGCACTATGCGTTTGGGCAAACGAACTACGGTGTTCGCCGAAGGTCCCAGCATCCTCCGTCAGTTGTATGGCAATCCCAAGACCGTGGAGGAGCGTCATCGACATCGTTACGAGGTTAATCCCAAGTATGTACCCCGGCTCGAGGAGCATGGCATGCGATTTGTGGGCACCGACGTGGACAAAACCCGGATGGAGATCATAGAGCTTAGTGCTCATCCGTACTTTGTGGCCACGCAATACCATCCTGAGTACCTGTCGCGGCCCCTGAATCCCTCGCCTCCGTTCCTCGGCCTGATCCTGGCCTCCGTGGATCGGTTGTTCCACTATATTCAGCGCGGTTGCCGTCTGTCGCCCCGCCAGTTATCGGATGCCTCTTCCGATGAGGAGGACAGTGTTGTGGGCTTGGCCGGCGCAACAAAGTCGCTGAGGGTTTTGAAGATCCCAAACACACCGAAGACCACCAAGAATGGAATTTCGAATGGCTGCAATGGTAGCTCCAGCACTTCCGAAGGAGAAGGAGCCTGCGGAGGCGTTGACATCACCAATGGTCACCAGTGAACCAAGGAACGGATCCCCAAGCCTGGTAGTGTTTGACATCCGCTTTTCAGCTATGCTCCACTTATCTCTGTATGCAAAAGTTTGCGATATCGGGAGCATGTCTTGGTGTGTATAATAGGGTGGTGTCGATTTAAACATTTTTTTAATGTTTTATTGAAGTGGCATAAAGTAAACCCACTTTTAAATCTTTACAAATTTTCTTTAGTTTGTACAAGTTAAATATTTAATAAATCTCGTACAAGGGTACACGTTTTTCGTATATTTTACAATATTATATTTTTCTTCAAAAATTGAAAAGATTGTATATTATTCGAGTGATTTGTTATTTAAACAATGTTTAAATATGTTAATATATGGGCATAGTCGTGGACTTATATATATATAGAACATCAAAATATATAGATTGTCCTTAAGATCCTTAAAAATCGACACACCCTAATTTGTCTTCTTGATCGAAAACAAAAATAGTTTATAATCTCCTTGAATTACGACTAAAGTTACATGCTATAATAAGTTAAAAATGTCTTTAATTTCATCAATATTTAAAGCAAAAAAAAAAAAAACGAATTGTAAGCAATTACTTTATTCAAATATATTTTTAGATAAACAATGAAATAATTCAATATTCTTTGTGTATTATTTTGAATTTTGTGCGCAGCTGAAACAGTGTTGGTAATGGATGGTGGGAAATCTAAATAGTATTATAACTATCCCTTTTCCTCTCACGGGGAAAGAGTTTACTATGGCGCGCAGTTTTTAAATTTGAACTCAAGGGTATTTTGAAAAGGTTCTGATTAAAAAAAAAACTTCCTAAATAAAAGACATGTTTTTAATGTTTATAACCAGCTTTTACAAATAGTTTAATGGTTTGAATATGTTTTTTTTAGTTTCCGTCAGTGATTGATGGCCCCAACTTTTGTGTGTTTTAAAATTGTTTTTGCATTGACGAATTTCTTCAAACTAAAATTTGTGCTCTTGTGGTCGCTAGACAATTGTTTTAAAAATAACTAAAGCTTTTTGTCACCACAGGAAGTGTCAACTGAATTTTGGAAAATTTAAGTCATCTAAACAAGTGTTTTCTATTTTTAATGACAGGAGGTAATGCTTTTAAGTTCTGAGATCGTAAACTGGTAACCGATTATAAAGGGTTAAAGTTTTCAAGCACGTGACTTTATTAATAATAAAATAATAAAATATTATTTATATTTTTAATTTTAACAAAAATGTTTGAGAAATAGGTTTGACTTAAATTACAGCAATTCCTCAAATTGGTATGATTTTTTTAAGGTCAAAAATTAACATTAGTAATGTATGAATGTATTTTAAAACAATTTTAAAAAATCAAACTTCTCCTTTTTATAAAAAACAAGAAAGAAAGCAAACTTCGGCAAGCCGAAGTTCATATACCCTTGCAGCTATTGCAAGAATTAAACATTTTTGAAAACATTAAAATTATAATTTACTTGCGTATATGTTTAAAAACATTGAAGCTATGATGATTTCCAGCTCAATTATTTGATAGGTCTTTTATATATTTTTATTGTTCCTATGGGAGCTATATGATATAGTCGTCCGACTTTGATGAAACTTAAACCGTAAATTGGAAATATTTAACCATTACTAAATGTCGAAGAACTAAACAAAAAATTAAAAAACAGAAAAATTATAATTTTTTTTCATTTATTTCTCCGATTGTTCCTATTGAAGCTATATGATATAGTCGTCCGACTTTGATGAAATTTAAACCGTTAATCGAAAATATTTAACTATTACTAAATGTCGAAGAACTAAACAAAAAACTAAAAAACAGAAAAGTTATAATTTTTTTCATTTATTTTTCCGATTGTTCCTATGGGAGCTATATGCTATAGTCGTCCGATTTTGATGAAATTTAAACCGTAAATCGGAAATATTTAACCATTACTAAATGTCGAAGAACTAAACAAAAAATTAAAAAACAGCGAAGTTATAATTTATTTTCATTTATTTTTCCGATTGTTCCTATGGGAGCTATATGCTATAGTCGTCCGATTTTGATGAAATTTAAACCATAATTCTGAAATATTTAACCATTGCTATATGTCGAAGAACTAAACAAAAAATTAAAAAACAGCAAAGTTATAATTTTTTTCAATTATTTTTCCGATTGTTCCTATGGGAGCTATATGCTATAGTCGTCCGATCCGGCTCGTTCCGACTTATATACTACCTGCAATAGAAAGACAACTTTTGGGAAAGTTTCATGCAGATAGCTTTAAAACTGAGAGACTAGTTTGCATATAAGCGGACGGACAGACGGACAGACGGACGGACAGACGGACATGGCTAGATCGACTCGCCTAGTGATGCTGATCAAGAATATATATACTTTATAGGGTCGGAGATGTCTCCTTCACTGCGTTGCAAACTTCTGACTGAAATTATAATACCCTCTGCAAGGGTATAAAAATTTGAACAATTATTTATTTGAATCTAAACAGGAGATACATAAATAAATAAGTTTCATATTGAAAACTAAATTTCGAAAGAGCACCAGAGAATGAGCTTTTTGTGTAATTTTCTGCTTGTTGACGCAATTAGTAAGGCAGAGAATTAATCAAAGGCTGGTACTCGAGAATAATAATGGACGCTAACCCGTACGGAATCAGACGCGGATTCAGATACCGCCTGGCGTTGTCAGACATCGGCCCGTGCTCAACAAAAATAGATGGGCATACATTTGGGCTTGTGTCCGCTGCGGTGAGCAGCGATGGCTGGTGGCCAATTGAATCGAGGCAGATCGCGAATCGCAGACCAAGAACAATGCGCATTCTTCATTGTTCGTTCGTTCAATTGAGTAACATGCTCTAGCTAATTTTGCACTAGAAATATCGTCCACCAAGAAAAAAACATGAACCAGTCGGGGGTCCACAAAAAGAAGCCAAGGATTCGGAATCGCCAGAGGAACAAAATCAACCAGTTGCAACAAGACCAAGAAGAAAATTCTACCAAAAGTGATGTAGTTCAGGTGGAAATCGCTCCCAAAAGCGGTGTTGCTGAAGTAATCCTTCAATCCGGTTTATCGGAGTCTAATAGTCCTCCAAAAAGTGAAAATTCCCTGGGAGAAAATCCTCAAGAAAACGAGACCATTAGGCTAATACAGCTACTGTTGCGTAGGAAATTATTGGCCAAAAATAATGCATCCCCAACGGGTGAAGCAGCCCTGGTTAATAATCAAGCCAAAATAGTAAACCAACCGAAGGAAATAAAACCCGAAGAAAGGAAACCAAAGGTTCTCAGTGCTCCGGAAATACAAAAAATCCCATCAGAATCCAAGACACCTGGAAAACAATTAAAGGATGTGAAAACCGATGAAATGGATGAGCTGCTCAAATGTTTGGGTAGCAAACTGCAAAAGGGTTAGTGGAGTTTATTCTACCAAAAGTGTGTTGGCTAAATTAAATAGATTAAAATCAAAATAGGAGGTGGAGAATCCCCAGCAGCGGCACTGTTCAGCAATCTCGGAAAGCTTTTCAGCCAAGCACCGCCCAGCGATGTTGAATCCTCGGATGACGAGGCGGAGGAGTATGTGGAGTACATCTACAAGCCAAGGCAATATTTTATGGCCTCATTGTGCAACGTATGTAGTATTATTAAAAACTTAAAACAAAAATAACTAAGGTTTTGTAGGTAGCTTTTTTTTTACCCAAACACTAGTTTACAAAAGAGTGAAAAACTGCCAATTGACCCGGTTTTGAGAATTTTGAAGTTTTACGGAAACATACATACTCTTTATTAAATAATTTGTAATTGGTACGAGCTAGCTTGATGATTTATTTAGCATTTACTGCTTAAATATATTTCCTTGATATAAAAAACTAATAAAAAATTCAAATTTATTTTGGCGCTTTTTTATAAAATCACCAAGATAGCTCCTTCCAATTATAAATTATTAAACAAAGAGTAAGTGCTATTTTTTAAAAAAAGTGACCAATGTTGTCTATTTGAAACCCTGTTACAAGACTTTAAACCTTTAAACTTAAAAAAAAATTCTTAATCAGGGAGTTTTATGCTCCGAAAACCAAACTTTCATCTCAGGAGAAAATTGTCGACTTTGATTTTCAAACTTGCATTATTCATAAAAGTTTCTAAGTAAAATCATTCATTAATTAATCATAAATGTAAAAATATTTATATATTTTATTCATTGAGTAATACTTAAATACATCAGCTAGTATATTGTATAGTTTTAATAAAGTGTTTTAAAGATGTCAAAAGTTATAAAATTAGTGTTTTTTTAATTAAAGAAACGATCTTTATTTGTAAATTTGTAATTGTATTCATATTTCGATAACTTGGTAGCATAAACACTCAAAAGATCATGCACAAAAACTGAACCCTTCTTTCAAAATTTGTTTCTCAGATTCTTGAAACTATTTCATGTACCTAATTTTAAAGTTAATTGATAGGTAATATTTTGTCTTATTAAATTTTTAAATCGCTCTACTAAACAGTTCTGCAAAGCTGACTTGTGCGGCCAGAATCGGATACCCTGTTCCCGATGCGGACTGAGCTACTACTGCAGTGGCGGCCACATGAAAGACGACCAGGAGCACCGCCAGCTGTGCTACGCCCTGCGCCAAACGGTGGACCGCAACGGTGAGGCCATTCTGTCAACGAACCATAAATCACACTAATTGCAAATTATCGGGTGGCGGATGCAGGTCACGAGATGTTCTACAAGTGCGGCGACTTCAGCGGTGAGCAGTTCCGCTCCTACCGGATCGTGTGCATCCGCCAGGTGGAGAAGGAGATGAACCGTCCGCTCTCGGCAACGGAACGGGAGCTCCTCCTGTTCCCAATGATCTGCAGTGAGTCCAAGTGCCGGGAGCACCAATTCAAGCGACTGGCCATCTGCGGCGGTTGCGGCGAATATGCCTTCTGCAAGGACAAACCGGGTCATCGCAGCAAGGAACATGCCAAGTGGTGTGGCGCCTTTCAGCTGTTCAAGGCCTTCATCATGTTTCAGGCCAACTTCGGACGGATGGAGCCATCGCTGCCCAACAAGGTTCTCCGGGAACTGCCCATGGCTTGCTCCAGCACCAAACACATAATGAAGAAGCTTAATTTTAGTAAGTATTTGCCCTAACGACAATAAATAGATTTATCACGCGAGAATCTGGAAAGAGTGGAATTTTATAAATCACAACATCCAATCAATATTTGAAGTTCATTATTCAAATTTTAAATAAAACATTTTTATCATTTTTCAAATTTTAATTTTGTTGATAAAATTAAAAACAAAAAAAATTAGTCAAAGTTTGTTGTCAGCTTTTTTTGATTTAAACAAATCCAACGGGCTTGCAAATGTTATTAACGCATTTTCATTAATTAGTTTATAACAGATTAAAAAACAACCGTGTTCTGAAACTTGCATTAATTTGGAAAAATCTAAAAAATTCTTCTGTTCATTCCGAAAAAAATAAAAAATAATTACAAAAATCTTTGATTGTCCATATCATACAAAAAAAATT